GTGATGCCAATATATCGCTCATAAATAAACAATAATAAATAAACAATAATCGATTTTGCAGAAAATACATTTTAAGTTTTTAATAGACTCACACCTCACAGGGTTCTTAATCAGAGTGTCTATGAGATATTCATTTGATTTTGTGGTAAAAAAATATATATATATTTTATATAACGAACTAGCTACAAAAATATGTATTACTGACTATGACAATCCTCACAAAAGTTAATTTTTACTCTAACGCTGGCAAACTTTACAAAAAACTGTCAGCTGTAATGTGAGATTCGTTAAAGAAAAGGAAAATCACCTTAACAATTTTCGAAAAGCACACAAAAAACCTACTAATTTCTAAATTAAATATATATTTTTTCTGCTAAACCTGTGTTGGCCTTACCTTGGATATAACGAACTTCTTCTATAACGTATTAAATTGCTTGGTCCCTACGTGTTCGCTATAACCGTACTCGACTGTATTTTAACTGTTACAAGAATACAGGCCAAACTAAGAATGGAATCATTTATTTTTATTAAGTTCATAACAGTTGCAATGTTTAGTACATAAACGGTATGTAACTGTTCCTCATCATTCACAACTGGACCGTCCATGAGAAGTCTCCCCAAATAAACTATGTACACAATTTTCGAAAAAAGCGCGTCGGTTAACATCACCTTTTTGTTATTATTATGTTTGTTGCATTGTGTGAACTCTCATTGTTGACGTCTGCTACTCCTAGTTGGACCGGGGTATTGAGTACACTAAGGCAAGCGATTTGCTGATGACTTTTATTAATTTAGAAGCTAGCCACAAATCGTGTTCCCCCGTCGTCCGTCCCTCCCTCAATGAGTAACACTATTATTGGTCACGTTCACTTCCAGCAATCTATGATTTAAGAATTTTATACGAATTTCAAAACGAAACGGAGAAGAACATCACGCATCACCCATCCATCCATCCATCCATCCACTGTTTTTCGCAAATTGCAATAGTCTACTCTGAAGGCCCCCGAACAATTCTCTTACCCAGCAATAGTTGTTAGGTTACAGCAAAAATTGTTTGTCTGCGTTTTCACCTTTCGTTTCTGGTTGATTTTTTGTTGTTGTCAAACATCCAACACTTCGTCTCGTTCGTTAATCCAATGTGTATGACCTGAGGGCATTTGCCATTTATTTAGATGGCGAAATAGCGCGACAAGAGAACGCGAAGCACAGTTAATTTGAAGACTTTTACATCAAATTGCCAGGAAATTTTATTCACTTCGTTTTCCTTTGTTATTATTTCTTGCCAATACGTTGTATTCGTCGTGTTTCTTTTCTTATTTTTTGACAATAGTTGCGTTTCTAGCGGCGAAATAAAGAAAACACATTTATACCAAATATTTTTGATGTTCTCCCCTTCTTGAGATTGTGTAAATTGGGGCTGTACGGGGGGAATGAAGACACACACACGCGACACCACAACCGCACGCGACGCTGTTTGAACGAACACTGAACGTTTGTGCAGTGGAGATTTGACCGAGAGGATGAATGGTCGAACAGAAGAGAGAATAGCAGAAATGTTAATTTTGTTGTTGTGTCGTATGCAGGCGGTGTGGGGATGGGGCTATGCAAAAGCCACAAACATTCATACAGTAGTTGCCCACTTATGAAAACCAAAACCGGCTTATTTTGTTTCTCATCCATCCACTAAACTTACAAGTGTTCGAATGTGTGTTTTGTGTGTGGCAGAGCGCAACATACGATCTCATACATATTCGCTCGCAAATGTTGCACGTTTTTTTCTTTATTTGCCTTTGTCCAAGGCAGAGTTGCCGTGAGTACAGAATATTGGTTGTGGTCAAAACTATTATTTTTCGTTTTCATGTAGGTATAAAATACAGAAGGGCCTCGATTGCCCGTTATGGTCGGGTACTACTCGTTTCTCGTGAATTTTATTATTTTCGATAAGAAAGCGATTTTTGCTTAGTAAATGAAAATGCACAAGAGTTGTATAAATAGCAACTATTTGTCTGAATATATTCAAAATATAACTCACGTTTTTACGGGACTCAACTGCCTTATTCGGTTATAACAAACTTCGGATATAGGCTGTTATATGCAATTTCGTCTATCTTGGATTCAGGTTATAATTTAAAAGGTAATAACAAACTTCGGATATGGGCTGTTATATGCATTTGGTCTATTTTGGATTCAGGTTATATTTTAAAAGGTCAACTGCCTTATTCGGTTATAACAAACTTCGGATATTTCGAACACATCTACTTCTTCCCATGGAACTTTCAATAGATTTCTATAAAAATTATTATGGTTGTGAAGTCCAGTAAAAATCTCGATAATCCGGGCCTCCCTAATCCAAATTATCCGGTAAACCGGACTGAATTTCACAACTCAGTGTGTATTCTATTTGATTCTGAAATCCGGATTATGGAAATTTAGCAATCCGGATTGTGATCTGCAATCAATTGTCCGCATTAGCGATATTTTACTGTATGTGTTAAAAACGACGACTTAATTTGACGTAAACGCTATGGAATTGGCATTTGGGATCGAGTGGATTTCGTAAATCTAAACGTACTTTTATTGTTTACATTTATAACATTTTTGTTTTGGAAAAGAATTATTTCCTACATTATAAAATGTTATTACATTTCTTTTAACCCTTTGACGTATTTCCACGAGTCTGACTCGTGGTAAAATTTCTGTGCCTAACATGATTATGATTCGATTCTCATAATAATAAGAATAAAACTAGTTGATGCCGTGCACAACATCTAATCTAAAATAAATAGTTTTATTACATGCATTCACATTTCGTTTCGTTTTGCGGCTGTTCTTAAGCATCAAAACCGGTTTACTTAGTGCAAGTTGTGTGCTAACAGTTGGAAGCGAACTTCGTTGCGCTAATTTTGAGTTCTATGGTTATCTGACATATTCTCGGAACTGTTTTATTGACAAATTTTCTTTTCTGTGCGACTTTTTGTGCAACTTTTTTAAAAATCCCAGTGGTAACACTGTTGGTAATTACCACTTTTTCAACTTCTATACAAATTGTCATCCCCGTGCCGGTACGTATGTATCACTCTGTGTACCCAGGTTTTCTGTTTTCTTTCTGGCTGGCGTTACTCTCCAAACCATCATCGAACACAGTTTGCCTTGGTTTGATGCTGTTGCCGAGTGTATTTTCTATAGTTCTTTGTACGAACCTTTGCACAAACGTATATGTATATAGAAATGTGTAGATGTTTGGTTACCTTTACGTACGTGTGTGTGAATGTAAGTGTTTGTGCATTTTGCGGAAGGCAAGGTAATAAACGGGGATCAGCAGTTTGGGTTTGACAATTCATTACTTCAGACAGCAAGGAATGGGCGTACCATTAAATTACTTTCCAGAGTCCTCTAACTGGATAAAGATGTATTGACAAATATATTCAGCAAATATTAAATACAATCACACACAGAACCCAACAAACCAATTTGATTGCCAAATTCACAATTCTAGTCTACATTTTGTGATGACATTTTCTTCGGCAGTTCTAAGTGATTCAATTGAATGAGTGTTGTAATCATTATGGGTCCATGGTTTCTCCTGTTGTCATGCAAAAACATCTCCAACATGGCATTATGAAATACCCAGAGAATGTATGCAGAATAAGAGAATACATACTTTGTTTTTCGTACAAGCTTTAGTAAGCAAATATTTTAAGAGAGGGTGGGAAACGAAGAGAAGATTATTAAGAGATGTTATACACATGCATGACGTAAAACTGGGGAAATGACAATCATGGGGGTTGTATCTGTGCTGCCAATCTCGTATTTATTAGTGTTTTTCAATGAATTTGATTATCCAATATTAACGTAGTCCGACATCAGCTCGAAATCAAATTAAAAACATAATATGAAGATGAAATAATATATATAAACAAAAACTGTTTTAATAATTTGGTTTTAAAACATGACATATTGTTTACATTATTATTTACATTAGAACTTTTTGTAGGGTTAAATTCGGAAAACGTACTATTACACTATATTATATGAGAAACATATTCACACTCCATGCCTAAAAAACGATTATAGAATGTTGTTTTGTTTAATTTGTTGTTATTTCTTTTAATAAAATAGCAACTCTTTTTCATAATATGAATAATAATATATAAAAAGAGTAGAGCTCCGTTTGAAAAATGACACGATTTAACGATTTCACAATGAAATAAAAATTGAACAACATATTTTCATTTCTATTAAATACTAGAATTAATAAAAAAAGTCATTCCATATAACGATTTTTTCGATTTAACTATGAGGCAGATAATACGTTAATCGTTATACCGAAATTTTACAGCAATATTATTATTATTAAATCAATTCACTTCATAATTAGATTCATAAAATTTTTTCCAGTGTACAAATTAAGATGTGGAAATATATTGTAAATTTTCGTTTGACGTTTAATGAATGGCGAGATAATGCATTTGAACATTTTTAGAACAGTTTCGTTTTCTCGAATTGTACCCATACTAACGGTCTCCGCTCGCTCACCCCCTCCGTGTTTGTTGTTGGCGTTCTTCACTGGGACCACCATTAGCTTTGTCCTCTCTCTCACCGCTCTTCTTTCTCTCAATCTGTTTTCGTTTTTGGCGCCTGCTCCACATTTTGGCAACTGCAAAGTGTCACCGCAGTCTCATATCGTTCGATCATTGATAAAGTCCTAAAGAAACAAAAAACGGTGGCAATTCGTTTACGCGTCCGTCTATTTTTGAAGGCAACACAGACACAACATTCTTCTACGTCTGCCGTGGATCGTCCGTCCGTAAATAGTCAACATTATATCCGAATATTAAAATGTGCTATTGAAGAACGACACCAGCGAGTTTCTGTTTTTGAGAAGTGCGGGCGAAATACACTTGACAAAGATGTGCGACATTGATTAACCAACTGGATGAACTGAATGAATAGATCTGAACTCCTGCATCTGCCTCGTCGCGAACTCTATTACTACGCCTATTTGTTGTTATACGAATTCCTTCTAGTATGATTGTGTACGCACGTGTCGCGACCAGTTTGTTTTAAGTGTCACTGCAATACCACCACTACGGCGGACCTGGAACGCTGCTAGTGGCGTGCTATTGTCTATATCCCGAATTCAGACAGAATGCAAATTCCAAACAATTTGCTGCGGATAATTTTCATGCTGTCAACAATTGTCGCAGTTACAGGTGAATGAAAGACACGGACATGAACAAATGTCATTGAGTCAGAGGGGGGATGGGAAGGTTCACTGAAAGGTGTAGTAAATGAAACGGGGTTGCCAAATTACTCGAATAAATTGTCAAATTGCAGACTGCAAAATAGTATTTTCATTGTAGTTTCTTTTTAAACGACAATGTCGAAACATTTGACAAATCTGACCAAGGCCTATATAATAGGTCATCCAGTAAGGATAACTGATATCTTCATATTTTGTCTAACTTTGTTGTTTTGATTTGAACTTCAATAAAAAAACATAGTATACATACACAAAAATGTCGTAACGAATTTTCTATTCAAAAATAAATTTGTTAAAATATGAAAAATAAATTTCAAATCTTGGAAAAAACAATTGAATTGTTTACTAAAATAGTGTGTGGTGACCTGATATTTGGGCCTTGAATCTGACAAATTCCAAAAACGTCGATATATGAAAATATACAATGAAAAATTATAATGGGAATTTGATGAAAAATATTATTTAACTGACGTAGAAGATAAGACAGTCCTTATGAACTAGCAGTTATCGGCATTTTCGGTTAAAGTTTTATTAGACACTTCATTGTGCCATTTCAATGGAATATTCAATTTGTTCTGTGGAGGCTTCGAAGCAATGTTTATTCATAAGGTTAACAGGCAGGCGAATTCATGCCTTAATCTTCTATTGCTGTCAACATTTTAACCGCGAAATACCAACCAGAACAGGATAAAAACTCAAAATATCTTTCAGGAAAACGTAATGATAGTAATGTGCACAATTATGTTCGAATAAAAATATTTGTTGTTCTTTTTTTATTCTTCAACCAATAAATTTGACAGTCAATGAATACTTTGAATTCGCCTCCCTGTTAACCTTATGAATAAACCTTGGAGGCATCTTTAAAATATTCGTTATTGTTGGAATGATAAGAAAACACAATATGTATTTTTGGAGGTGCTTCTATTTATTTTTTCTATACCTATATATTGGCACTACCAATATGTTTTTGAGTAGGCTATTCTTTAGCTAATTCCACAAGAATATTTCACTCAGTGAAATTGTTACCCGATTAATTAATAACGGATATACTTCTGTTCTGTTTAATATTCAACATAAAACTTTCTTTTAGACTTCATTGTTGGCTCGACCGAGCATAAATAATTCCAGTAAAATATATCTAAAATACATGTGGAGGTTCTCTCATAGTTCTACTGATATTTTTCTTTAAACTACTTTTCATAATTCATAAACTTTTCACTGTTCTATTCTATTTTTCAGATTGTTGTTCTAGCCGAATTTTATTCCTCAGGGAACAGACCTTTAATATAATACAACAACACAAAATGCAACAACACCCACAACAGAACAATGATCACCATCAACCGGTCAACGAGAAATACGAGCAACACGTTTACAGCGGCAGTGCCGCAACGGCCGAGAAAATATTCAACAAAAATCACACAAATGTAAACAGCGACGATGAGTCAACTTCTGGAGATGAACAGTCGGCCAACGATGGGTCAGGTACCGAAACCGCATCCCATCTTGATCGGCCACCGCCGATCATCAATGACAATGCTACTGGTCAGACTCGGAAAAACTCATCGGACAACGCTGAGACAATAACGGATCCCACTGTGACCAGGGAAAAGTCCGGATTTGACTATTGGGATATGTATTATAGCATAATGAGCAATGTCTTATCTATACCCTGCACTGGTGAATTTCTAACTGAGTTCTGCTTGAACGGTGGTCGGTGTTTTAGCTACCCCATTGGAAACCACAGTTTCTTTTCGTGTGAATGTGCGGACGGCTATGTAGGTGAACGTTGCGAATCGAAAAACGGTGAGTCCACATTCTGTGCCCGCCTAAAAATTTCATTTTTAATTATCGGATCCTTCTGTTTTCAGGGGTTTTTGTGGCCACATCTGCGTTGGACTCCAATCAACCAAAAATTTTGACGGCTCGCGTTGTGTTTTCGTTCCCGATGCTAATTTTTCTCACCGTGACTTATTTGTTTTTCGGCATGGCCATTGTGTTCAAATGTCAGTCGCCGCTAAGGTATAAATATGCGCCCAACAATTCCCGAGCAGCCGGCCTGCTTTGTACGTGAACGTTGCTTTTTTTCGGATCTAAAGACAACAAGTGCAATTTCCGTCGGTACAATTAACTCATGTCCGTTATGGAAAAGCTTTTCCAAAGTGTCGGTTTCGGCAGTGGTTCGACCATTTCGTAACGCTAACAATTTGCATATAGATATACATTTGTGTCTTAACATAATTCATCTTTTAGGCTAGTCATTCTAATTCTATTTTAAGCCTCCTTAATTTCGTACGAGACTGCGCGCAGTTGTAGCAGCATTTCTGCAACACTCAGTTATTACTTAGTTCGTTATATTCGTAATTACCATTTTTTTCTTCATTTCTATTAACATTAATTTGTAGCTTTTCTCGTGGGACATGTGGCGAAAAAGCGCGCTTTTTCAATCCTCCGTCTTTGTATTTATTAATAGATGATCATATTTTTTATTTAAAAAATACGTAGCTGCGTATTTTACATAGTTGTAAATTATTTCGGAGTAGTACTGAAGGCGCTTTCAGACTTCGTTTCTATTCATATTTATACCTTTTCTTCTCATATTTTTTTAGTTGCTGTAGTGCACTCAAGATTTTTTGTAACTTCGAGTTACCCAACCGTTCCACATATATTACATATTTCTGTTGTTTTGTTTTCGTAATAGTAATTGCATATAAAGTTAATTTTATATAAATAATAAAATGACGTACAAAATTTAAAATGAGTGTGTATTTTTATAATATTTTTTAAGCCAATATTGAATGAGTTACTTCTACCACCACAATATTGACATCATTGGTTACAACTACATGTTCAAAATGTCAACTGCCATCGTTTGTTGGGACTGCTCAAAATAGTGGCCCTGAATTTTGAATAGAAAACTTGAAGGATGTTACTAAGCAACAAACAGTTGTTTGTGACTTCCACATAATGTTATTTTCTGTACGGGTAGCAGATAGTAGTGTTTCCGGAAGCCAACAACTACAAATGAGACACACACACACACACACGAGAAGTAACGTTTTCAATGTTTACTTCTTACTAATTGTCGGGTAAATTATCCGAAATGAAAAGTTAAAATCCAATTTTAGAACTAAAAGAACAATCTTAGAAATTACTTAAAAAAGAGAACGCAAATAAAGAGTTTATAACCCGGGACACTAGTTCCCATGTATCAGCAGCATCGACCAGAACATCAGATAATCGTATGTGGCCCATTTGATCTGCCAAATAATAAGCGATAATCAACACAAACTGTAGGTCATTCGGCGGTATCTATGCTATGCTTTCATATGACATTTCCACCGTGTTTGAAATGGAATTTAAAGTGGCATGCAACACTACACTCAATATTCCAACTCCATGGGCATAAATAAAAATATGGCATTTCTAAAATCAAAACAGCGCCAATGTTCCTCGTGTGGGGAATAGGATGCGATATTGCTAACAATGTCAGCTACTCACCACTACGCATATAATTCACAATTCTCGCTGACGCTGGCAACACAGTCATTTATGGCGTTGCCAACAGCTGTGTAATTTCGAATATTTCTTAGTAAGGACAAAAACTAAACGAATTTATAATTAAATTGCCATTATTACAAAATGAAATGTACACACTAGTTTTTTTGGGTGGCCCTATGCTACGTGGTACGCCATGCGTTAATTTGGATTTTCAATAATCAGATAATGTTATTGTAAACAACCGATACATTAAAACATATAATCAGTATAATTACTATATATAGGTAAGGGGAGGGCACCTTTGAACACCTTTTTCCGACCAGCAACCAATTTTTAATATGGAAATCTTGTTCCATATTCTTGTGCACAACTTTGGCTAACCTTTTTAATTGACGACAAAATGTAGGTGAGTGAACATGTTTTCCATTGTAAATTTTTAATTTTGTTGTTGTAAGGGCGCAGGAAGAATTCAGGTATCGTTTTCTTTCGCCAACAAGCCAACAATCATTTCAAACATAACTAATGTATTTTCTTTCACATATATTAATTAAAAAAAATATATATATATATATTATACATTTCCGTAAAATGCTGCAAGGCGACACCTTTGAACATGTACAGTAAACTTAGGTTGTGAAAATATTGAAATAAATGGCGTTTCCTACATTTTATACAAGTGTATGGCATTTACAACATTTTGACAGCCCAAAACATAAAAATTTGTCACCGTTGAACTTGGCAGATATGAACGATATCAAGTGAAGGTCTGAACTATTACATAACTGGAACTAAACTATTTTCGGGACTGTTTGATACCGATGTCATATAAATGACAGAACTTGTTTTCAGGATAAACGATTTCGATTGTATTTTATTTGCACCATTTTTCAAACATCCTAGAGGACTGTTCATGTTGTTCATTTTCTCGCTTCTGCTTCCAGAAGATCCTCCACAAGTGTCCGGTGTACAAAATGAAATATTTTTATCGGTCTCCTGTATATCGGACAAAGCACCATGCAGACAACATAATTCGAATGGCGTTCCGATTCGGTTTAAATACTGTACAGCATATTTTTAATAAAATGTACTAAAACGATGACTATGTGTATTACGTCATAGGCTTATATAATGCAAAACCGATAACAATTATGTAGCTGTTTTCCTCGTAATTTTCATCATTTGAACATTCATCAAATATTGAACATTGGATGTATTTTTGCGTATTTGGTCTTGTAATTGAATATTATATAAAAAGTAAGGTGCGATTTTAGATGAGAAAATTCTTGGCAGTTATTTGGAGTTACTTCGATGTTTTTAGTAGTTTAACATCCTCAACTTATATGCACCTCCTCGAAGAGATTATTTTGTATTACTTAAGGATAAACACTGGATATTACAAGTATGTATCATTAATGTAATAGATTATTTACAATATTTATATATATATATAATATTTATATATATTTATATATATAATAATTTTTGCAGTTTTGCGAACAGGTGTGATGTGAGCCATACAAAAAGTACAAACATGGGTGTGATATATTCTAAGACCAATGCATGCTAATTCAGGTACATACCTGGTACATACATACGTATTTTTATACGACAACAATGTTAAAAATGTAATTTGTATCGGAGAAGAAGAAATGTTTTATAAGAAAACGAATGCAGAACCCATCACTTCACTCAACAGACACACACACCCAACCACACTCAAGTAAATGCATGTACCCCGTTTTTATGTATTTATGTAGATTTACTACAATATACATTCGAAAGGCCTTAGTATTTCGGATGCTTGTATATATGCAAGATAATAGAAGTGCATTTGATAATAACGACAAATACAAACAAACACATTTTCACACACACACGCACATATAGCTACACATAAAACAATTTTAAGAAAATAAAGAAGGATATTGCACAAGACATTGCATTATTAAAGAAAGTGCAATGCAAATACTCATACACCACAAGACGTACACACACTCACACACATACTTATGCATTCCTACGCATCTAGAAACGGACATATTCTGTCCGGAAGACTCTTTTTAAGTTCTAGTCGAGAAACTGCATTTAGTTTTTTCTTCTTCTTAGAACGGAAGGAGGTGCATATGCAACGCACACACACATACACAAATGTGCATTCAATGAAAAAGTGTTGTATTCAAAATACTATGTACACTAACACAATGAGGCATATAATTTTTGGAAATTGTTAGGCTCTGACTAGAGTAAGTTAGAGCAAGATAAGAAATTGTATTGAAGCAGAGGATGGGGGCAAATGTTTTTCATTTGGGCATACACATGGTTATATGCTTGCATATTGTTGGGGTGTCCAGTATGTTTATCTGCCCATTGGTCTGTACGTCTTTCTATATGTCTGTCTGTCTGATTACGTTCTTAATTCCAAGATGCAGCAAAAATGAATAATTATAAATTGCATTATAAAAATACACAGCCGTGAACAATGCGGACATTGTTGGCGTGACAAAAAAAATCTATTTCATAAATTTTAGTATGGTTAATTAAATTTGTTTTAGAATATACTAGTAAAGAATTGCATTCTGATATATACATATATGATTGACCTATATACAATTAACTTCTTTGTAAAAGTTTCAGTAAAAAATAGAAAGAAAAATAACCAATGGTTGTAAGAGAACACACATTTTTTTCCAATCTTACGTGACATTTCTGGGGACATTTAAATATGTCATTGATTTGTGAATTCTCAACTTTTTTTAAAAGGTTGTGCATTATATTATTCAGGACTAACATGGCAATTTGTACAACAATCAAAATCCATCATTCCAAAAGTGGGAGTGTACATTATATTCTTTTATAAGACATGTTATAGTTTGAGAATTTCTTTTAAGAAATTTCGAAGGAGTCATAAGACGTGTTGTCTTCTTATTTAACATTAGTTTGGGTAAACTGAAAATTGGGTTGTCAATCGAGATGTTTTTTTTTCGGAATTCCTGCAAATTTGGGATATATGAGATCTGTCAGAAAGTGAAAAACGTTTTTTCTATAAAGTTTAACTAAATAATTCAAAAAATCACGAATTTAAAATATGGATGAAGTCTATTTGTGGGATGGATAAAAAAATATAGCTACTAATTAGGTTATATCGCTGGCTTAACATGAAATGGATATAAGTCCACTTTTCCTTTTTCAATTAGTAAAAAACATCGATTTAAGGAAAAAAACAATTATTTCATTTTCATTTGTTTGCTGTTGTGTTGTAGCGATGAAGGGTGATAAATATACCCATACAAAGGTCCCCCCATTCTCGGCGTCAAAAATTGTGTTGTTTTAATTCGAATCTACTCTAATTCTTGAAAATGTACCCATACAAAGGTCCATCTTAAGGGGACCCCCCATTCTCGGTGTCAAAAATTTTGTTGATTTAATTCGAATCTACTCTAATTCTAGAATGTCCCTACAAATTTTCAAGTAAAAATCTCAAGAACTCTTGAAGATATAGCTATCAAGTGACGGCAAGAGTGATTCTAGGATAAAGCCAATCGGTGATAATCTTCCTAATTTTTCAACATGGTT